GATCAGGATGAAGGCTTGGCTTAATGGACCTGTGGTTAGTGCTGGGTTTAAACCACAGTTCATGACTGGGCCCCTTTAATCAGCCCTCCAAGGCCCCCAGATTGAGAAAGAAGAGGTTATATCTGCTGTGTCCTGCAGGCCTGAAGCAGCAAGACAAATAAAACCTCCTGATTGGTTAGTGACCAGAAGACAGAACCAGTTCAGCTGATGGGAGGAAAGTTCTGGAACGTTCTGGAGGAAGATGCCTGCAGGGCTGGATGAAGCTGGAACCAAATGAAGCTGAGGAGAGAAATCAAGCACCTGATGGAGGAACGTTTCTGTGACATTTTTTACTCAAGGTTTTGATAAAGAAGTTCTGCTGAAACCCTCCAGGAGTTCTGAGCCGCAGGGGGGGCTAACATGGAGGCGGAGGTCCAGACTGGACAGCAGATGGTCCTCACCATCCTCCTCCTCTTCATTCCCGCAGGGAGGCGAGGAGGAGGCTCAGCCTGGCTGTGATGCACGTCACCATGACGTCACAGAGCTCTCTGATCGGTTCTGCTGCCCTAACAGATGGAGAGCAGAGGAAGGCTGCAGCTACATCTGCTGGTGGTCCTGAGAACAGCAACTGGATCAGGTGAGGAAAATCTGAATTACTTTTTATTCAACTTTTGTTCTTTTTTGCTCCTGGTATAAATATTCAAACTAAAGCTGCTCCTGTTTTTAAAATGCTAATTCATCCTGCTGTCTTTTCAGGATGAAGAAATGACCGAGCAGGAGCTGGAAGTTGCTGTGACCCGGAGAACTTGGCTGGACACGAATCATCTGAGCTCAGCTGATTGTTTGCATCAGGATGTGAATCAGATTCACTTTTATTCACCAAGTTTGTCACGAAACTCGACTGGCCGACATGAGAGGGAACAGACCAGAGTATGGAGGTAGATTGGGGCCAAAAATTGTTTATTAAAACATTTAATTAAACTAAAATAAATAACTGAGATTAAAGTAAATATTTTAAATAGAGAATATCTTTAAAAGAAACAAAAAAGATTGGAGAATGAAAACAATTGAATCTGAAATAAAATAGGAAATTAAAAAGGAAAAACAATAAAATGAAATAGAAAAATAAATAATACTTTTTCTTGTTAAAAATGTCCTTTTTATTTTGTTTCTGTTTGTTTTAGACTCAAAAAACTTTTATTGTCTTTTCGTTTTGTGCATCTTTTTAAACAGTAAATCATCATAATCAGCGTTTTTTTTTTTAGTAAGCCGCTGCCTTCAGACGCCGCCATCGACTAAATCGTTGCGTTGAGGAACCGTGGAAACTTCATGGGCCTGCTGTATGGAGTCAGAAAGGGGTCAAAATGTTTGTAAACTTATAAATCTTATTCGAAACTGAATAATTTAAAGTTGAAACCAGAAAAATTAAAGTTGATTTTAAATGTTAAATTTTTACCTTAAAATCTAATAAACTGAAAAAGTAAACATGAAATAATAAAAATTGAATCTACATTCTTCCCCTCAGCTTGAAAAAACTCATATTTCAGTTCAGTATTTTAATTATACTTTTTTTTAATTTATTTATTTTCTTGTTTGCAGTTTTAGATTTTATATTTTCAGATTCAAATCCATTTCTTTCAGTTTAATTTTTTTCAATTCCTTTTCAGTTTCAGGATTTTTTTTTAGTACTTTGTCACAGTTTTAAATAATGAAGGAAAGAAAAGAAAAAAAAAAGAAAAAGTGTAATTAAAATTGTAAAATAAATCAGAACTTTTTTCCATCTGAGGAGAAAAATGTAGATTCAATAGCTTTTGTAGTTCCTCTAACTATAAAATAATTATTACATTCAGAATCAACTAGTATTTCTTCAGTTTCAACTTTTAATTCTTTCAGTTTTAACTAAGATTTCACAAACATTTTGACCTCTTTTTGACTCCATATTCAGGTGATCAAATTTTGACCTGCGACGGCAGCGACAGGAGATCAACGCTTTTACTATAACATCTAGAAAACTACAATATGGGAAACTTACGGGCGTCTGCTGGAGGACGTTTGGATAAAGGAAAGAGTGATCCCTCCTTTTTCAAAACGGGGCCTGGAAGCTTCGCTGCAGCTCCGTACCAGAGGAGCCTGCAGGTGGCCTCCATGCAGACTCCTGGTCTTGGAGTTCTGACATTTATTCTGTGATTATGAAAACCGCAATCCAGGCAGAAAGGGTTTAACTCTCCATTAATGCGCTCCAGGTCAAAGGTCAGGGAAGAGTTTTCATTCAGAGAAACATGGATGGAAAATAAAAACCCAGACAGATTTCACAGAACGCCTCAGATTAATAGTTGGAGATGAAAACGTTCCTGCCTCAGAGTTCAGCTCCTGCTTCATCAGCAGCAGTGTTTACTCACGCAGTGTAGGGGGGAGGGGGAGGTAGTAGGCGGTGGCGTCCTCCAGAAGACTCAGGATGTTGTCCAGGCCCGCCGTGGCGGCTTGGCCCACCTGGGATTCCTGCAGCTGCCGTACGGCCATCCGAACCGCGTCGGCCGCTCGCTCCAGCTGATCCAGAGCTCCGTCCAGGCCGTCCACCACAAGAAGCTGGACATCATCCAGAGTCAAAAAGATGGCGTCCTTCAAGTGAGTCATCACCTGAGGACGAGGAAGCACCTGATCAGCAGCAGATCTGGTTTAGACGGTCATCATGAAGCTCACTGATTACTGAGGGAACCTCAGTTCCTCCATTAAAACCATCAGAGTCCTGCAGCAGCGGCTCCACATGTTAAAGCTTTTCCCAGTAAAACTCTGCAGCCTTTATTTCTACCCTTAGAGGCCCTCAGAGGGAAACCTTTCCTTCAGGCTCCAGAGAGCCTCAGCCTAGATCCCCATGCAGCCCCATGCAGCCCCACCCCCACCACTGCTGCACCCTCTGGTGCTGGGAGCCAGTTTGCAGAGTTAAACCAGTAGCCGTCCCAGTGCAGTGGATGTTCCTAACCCACCTCATCTGTGGACTGGTTCAGGATGGGGAAGTTCCTTTCCAGACTGTCCAGACCAGTAAGAGCTAAACTGTTGGCCAGTTCGACTGTAGAAAACAAAGTTAGAAAAGAAGCTGAAACAACGGGAACAGAATCTATGTTCTGCAGCTCACAGCATCTCTGCTCACTTTGGGGCTGCAGACTCCTCAGGAGGGGCGACGCTCGTCTCACCGCTTCCTCAGAGACGCTGCGAACTCCCACCTCTGCCACGCCCCCCATCAGACCCAGCAGCGGGTAGCGGTCTATGACGCCAGAGAACATGGAGGTCACCGACCGCAGCACCGAACGCACCAGAGGCAGATGGGAGGCTC